CTGAGTCAGGTTTGTTGGCCTCCTTGCTTGCACATGCTTTTTCAGTTCTGCCCACACATTTTCTATAGGATTGAGGTCAGGGCATTGGTGATTGCCACTCCAATACCTTGACTTTGTTGTCCTTAAGCCATTTTGCAAGAACTTTGGAAGTATGCTTGGGGTCATTGTCCATTTGGAAGACCCATTTGCGACCATGCTTTAACTTCCTGACTGAGGTCTTGAGATGTTGCTTCAATATATCCACATAATTTTCCTTCCTCATGATGCCGTCTATTTTGTGAAGTGTACCAGTCCCTCCTGCAGCAAAGCACCCCCACAGCATGATGCTGCCACCCCCGTGCTTCACGGTTGGGATGGTGTTCTTCGGCTTGCAAGCACCCCCTTTTTCCTCCAAACATAACGATGGTCATTATGGCCAAACAGTTCTATTTTTGTTTCATCAGACCAGAGGACATTTCTCCTAAAAGTACGTTCTTTGTCCCCATGTGCAGTTGCAAATCGTAGTCTGGCTTTTTTATGGTGGTTTTGGAGCAGTGGCTTCTTCCTTGCTGAGCGGCCTTTCTGGTTATGTCGATATAGGACTCGTTTTACTGTGGATATAGATACTTTTGTACCTGTTTCCTCCAGCATCTTCACAAGGTCCTTTGCTGTTGTTCTGGGATTGATTTGCACTTTTCGCACCAAAGTACATTCATCTCTAGGAGACAGGCTTCCTGAGCAGTATGACTGCTACGTGGTCCCATGGTGTTTATACTTGCGTACTATTGTTTGTACAGATGAACATGGTACCTTTAGGCGTTTGGAAATTGCTCCCAAGGATGAACCAGACTTGTGGAGGTCTACAATTATTTTTCTGAGGTCTTGGCTGATTTCTTTTGATTTTCCCATGATGTCAAGCAAAGAGGCACTGCGTTTGAAGATAGTCCTTGAAATACATCCACAGGTACACCTCCAATTGACTCAAATGATGTCAATTAGCCTATTAGAAGCTTCTAAAGCCATGACATCATTTTCTGGAATTTTCCAAGCTGTTTAAAGGCACAGTCAACTTAGTGTATAAACTTCTGACCCACTGGAATTGTGATACAGTGAAATAATCTGTCTGTAAACAATTGTTGGAAAAATTACGTGTGTCATGCACAAAGTAGATGTCCTAACCGACTTGCCAAAACTATAGTTTGTTAACAAGAAATTTGTGGAGTGGTTGAAAAAACGAGTTTTAATGACTCCAACTTAAGTGTATGTAAACTTCCGACTTCAACTGTGTATATGTGTATATACAGTGGGGAGAACAAGTATTTGATACACTGCCGATTTTTGCAGGTTTTCCTACTTACAAAGCATGTAGAGGTCCGTAATTTTTATCATAAGTACACTTCAACTGTGAGAGACAGAATCTAAAACAAAAATCCAGAATCACATTTGTATGATTTTTAAGTAATTAATTTGCATTTTATTGCATGACATAATTATTTGATCACCTACCAACCAGTAAGAATTCCGGCTCTCACAGACCTGTTAGTTTTTCTTTAAGAAGCCCTCCTGTTCTCCACTCATTTACCTGTATTAACTGCACCTGTTTGAACTCATTACCTGTATAAAAGACACCTGTCCACACACTCAATCAAACAGACTCCAACCTCTCCACAATGGCCAAGACCAGAGAGCTGTGTAAGGACATCAGGGATAAAATTGTAGACCTGCACAAGGCTGGGATGGGCTACAGGACAATAGGCAAGCAGCTTGGTGAGAAGGCAACAACTGTTGGTGCAATTATTAGAAAATGGAAGAAGTTCAAGATGACGGTCAATCACCCTCGGTCTGGGGCTCCATGCAAGATCTCACCTCGTGGGGCATCAATGATCATGAGGAAGGTGAGGGATCAGCCCAGAACTACACGGCAGGACCTGGTCAATGACCTGAAGAGAGCTGGGACCACAGTCTGAAAGAAAACCATTAGTAACACACTACGCCGTCATGGATTAAAATCCTGCATCGCACGCAAGGTCCCCCTGCTCAAGCCAGCGCATGTCCAGGCCTGTCTGAAGTTTGCCAATGACCATCTGGATGATCCAGAGGAGGAATGGGAGAAGGTCATGTGGTCTGATGAGACAAAAATAGAGCTTTTTGGTCTAAACCACTCGCCGTGTTTGGAGGAAGAAGGATGAGTACAACCCCAAGAACACCATCCAAACCGTGAAGCATGGAGGTGGAAACATCATTCTTTGGGGATGCTTTTCTGCAAAGGGGACAGGACGACTGCACCGTATTGAGGGGAGGATGGATGGGGCCATGTATCGCGAGATCTTGGCCAACGACCTCCTTCCCTCAGTAAGAGCGTTGAAGATGGGTCGTGGCTGGGTCTTCCAGCATGACAACGATCCGAAACACACAGCCAGGGCAACTAAGGAGTTGCTCCGTAAGAAGCATCTCAAGGTCCTGGAGTGGCCTAGCCAGTCTCCAGACCTGAACCCAATAGAAAATCTTTGGAGGGAGCTGAAAGTCTGTATTGCCCAGCGACAGCCCCGTAACCTGAAGGATCTGGAGAAGGTCTGAATGGAGGAGTGGGCCAAAATCCCTGCTGCAGTGTGTGCAAACCTGGTCAAGACCTACAGGAAACGTATGATCTCTGTAATTACAAACAAAGGTTTCTGTACCAAATATTAAGTTCTGCTTTTCTGATGTATATGTCATGCAATAAAATGCAAATTAATTACTTAAAAATCATACAATGTGATTTTCTGGATTTTGTTTTTGATTCAGTCTCTCACAGTTGAAGTGTAGCTATGATAACATTTACAGACCTCTACATGCTTTGTAAGTAGGAAAACCTGCAAAATCGGCAGCGTATCAAATACTTGTTCTCCCCACTGTGTGTGTGTGTGTGTGTGTGTGTGTGTGTGTGTGTGTGTGTGTGTGTGTGTGTGTATATATGCATGCCACTGCTTGACTAAAAAAAATCTGTCGACCAAACAATCGACCAGTCGACTAAATGGGGTCAGCCCTAATAGGGTTTTTATATTTATTAGTTTTTACCTTGGCATGCGTTTTGTTGCAGCAAGTAAACTGTTAATGTTTTATTAAATGACATACAAGCTAGTAAATATCAGAGACTAAGGGGTTTAAAGCCTAGCATGCCAAGACTGCTACAAGATACCAAGGGAGGCAGATCATATGCCTTTGAAGCCTGTAAACAATCAAGTTGAAAATCGTTGCAGTTGACTTCATGGTTCTTCAAGTGTGGGCTACGGGTCTCTCAGTACTTTGGTAGTTATGAGAGATTTTCGGTGTGTGCTGTGCGTCGAGACTGTGCTTGACTGTGTGCATCTACTCTTCAGTTAGTTGGGGGAGAAAACAGTGTGATAGGCGGGAGGAGGGGGAGTGAAGGAATGTTTCAGGCAGGCAGACCTTTTAAGTACTGTATGGGTTGTGTGGTTGGCTTGTATATTTAGAAGGGGTTAGGGGGTGAGGTGTGGTGACTGTTGGAGGTAGAACCTAACCTGACTCCTAATCTCACCAGGTTCTATACAGTCAATCAGAGGCCTCATCTCTACGGCCCTGGGGTCACTGTTCATCACGGATTGAAAACATCTTGTGAGATTGCACTCGGTCAGACTAGTTTAGCACCTTTGTGTGTTGGTGTGTGCACAATGTGGGTGTGTGTGTACACGGTGTGTGTGGGTGTGTGTGTGTGTACACGGTGTGGGTGGGTGTACGATGTGGTTGTGTGTGTGTGTGTGTGGAAAAAGATGGTGCTGTATGAATGCTGTGGCGTTCAACCATCCCACACGCCTTCCCACACCCACTACAAATAGACAGCGAAGGTGCTACATTCCTTAGCGGCTGTGGAGATCTCTGAAGCTGAGGTCAGGTTTATGTTTTGTGTAGGAATGGGACCTTGTATAGAATGTGTGTAACAGCAATGCAAACTAATCTACTGTACAAATGCTTTATCCTCACTGCTGGTTGTATCCTAGCTGTGCTGTGGCTCAGGCCTTGTCTTCTTTATTTCTCTCTCTCAGAATGCTGCTGCAGGCCTTATCTGAAAGATCACATCCCTTTCTGTATGACAAGACTAGATCTGATGTATGCACTGCAGCAGCAGTGGCGCAACTCTTTTTGTCTGCCTCAGTCATTGACATGGAGTTTACCCACAGGTCAATTAAAGGTCATGCTATCCTTGTACTGTTTGCTTTTGGCTACACGGGCCTGTATCTTTTTACATGCTTGTTTAATTTGCTCTGAAAAGCCTTGTGGTGCTGTCTAAGTCTTTAATTGTTAATGTTGAGAAGAGATGTTGATTTCATAGAGTTGGGTTGAACTTAAATAGCAGGGAAGCAGGACACGTTGTGATTGGTCCATTTCATTTTTTCATTTATTTTTCATTTTTAGTCATTTAGCAGACGCTCTTATCCAGAGCGACTTACAGGAGCAATTGGGGTGCCTTGCTTAAGGGCACATAGACAGATTTTTCACCTAGTCTGCTCGGGGATTAGAACCAGCGACCTTTCGGTTACTGGCACAACGCTCTTACCCACTAAGCTACCTGCCGCCCTGAGGGGATCATCATTAGGACTTCCTATCCAGTCAAAGGATATTAGCTTGTGGCTTTATTGGGAATGTAAAGTGAACTTGTGGGTACATTGTTAGTGTTATTATTGGGGAAAAGTGTCATAAGAAACTAACTGTAGAACTCCAATACAACGGCTCTGGGTTATGCAATCCTGACACTCCTGCTGCTCACAGTCACTCGTTTTCCCACACTCTGCACAGTTGTGGGAAAACATGTTGATCACACACTGCTGCAAATCCGAAGGCATTTAACCCATTTGGAGTTTAAACGCTTAAAGAGCTCATCTGGGCCTACCCTTACTTAGTAAGATGTTTTTTTTTTTTTTTTATGGGCTCACATGTAAATACTCAACTTTACATGAGGATTGAGAAATGTCATGAAAACCTTGTTGGGATGCCTGTCAGTAGGATATCTATTTGAGGTAGACATGCAGCTGCAGAAAAGGACTGCATTAGACCTGTGTAGAGTCCTCTTTTCTCCACGGGTTCTCTCTCTGAGGGAGAACTCTACCTCCCTGCGTCTGTTGCATCCTGGTGAGGCTGCGGTCCGCTGAGTCTCAGCACTGTGTGTGTGCAGGGTGCTCTGACCCCCTCCCTCCCTGACTGTGAGGAGAGGAGCAGGGCTCTGACACGGCCTGTCCCTTTGGCTCACTCTGAACGTTTGACACGCGGAGCGAGGACGTCCGGGTGACCTACTTTCCCCTGGCTGCCCTTCTGCTGAGCCGCAGCTCCCCGCTCCTCCGCGGAGGGGGTCGGGAGGGTGGTGGTGGTGAGTGATGTGTTAAGGCGGCACAGGGCAGGGACGGCGCTGTCCTGGTGTGTTAGATCACCATGTTAGGAGACGCTGTGGTGTGTGTGGGAGGCGACAGTGGGAGACGCACACACTGGATGGGCATGAGCTGCACTGTGGGGGTTGCAGGTACATGCTGGGCAGCACTTGGGATGGACCCCTGCTGAGCTCTCTGCTCCATCTGACTCACTTTGCAATACTGCTTAAACTCCGTGACCCCTTCTACTTACTGTACTTCTGACCACACTGTGGGTACTGATCTGGAAGCTCCATCCTCATTGTGTGCCAGTACGACTCTCTACATACTGGAGATGCTAGGGCTAATTGTAGTATAGCTTTTCCAAAACGGACACATTATGGCTAACTGGCTAGGTGGGGGGATTCTCACCAGCGCGTTGTCATCTTATTCATGGTTTCTCCTCTGCCTCCCTGCAAGGATGCCATGATCTCTCAAATGGAGCTGAAGTGGCTGTCATGACGTTTCTCTGAGACACTGCAGTCGTAATGTGTTAAACGCTTCTATTCACTCCATTTCACCCTTTCTCCCACGATTGACCCTCAGCCTGTTAGTTTCACACCAGTGATTTTTAAGCTTAGAGAAGGGAGCGTGTTTGACAGAATACAGCATGTCGCAGGAGCACAGAGCCTGTCAAAGAGAAGAGTTCATTAAAAATTAAACCTCTTAATGCAGTGGCAGTACTCTAGGCTGGGTCGAGCTGGATGACTGTATCAATGATTTAAACCTGCAAGAAGGCCCTAAATGGAGACTGAGCAACATCTCGCCCTGTGTGAGGCTGAGCGCTACTTGCCCCGCTTTCCTCATGGCATCAAGTGCATGACATAACTCCCACTCCTCGTCGGCGGAGTCTGTGGAAGGTGGAGGGTTTTACTTAGGTCTTAAGTGCTTACGCTTGTAAGACATTGTAAGGTCTGCATTACACGCTGTCTCCTATTTCTCCCTCTTCCTCCCTTCTTGTCTTCCTAGGGGCCTAAATGGCCTTCTTTATGTTTTCCAAACTGATGGCATGCATCACACCCTTTTTGTTCCTGCACCTGAATGTAGGCTATGAATATTTTGTATAGCCTACTGTATGTCTATATAGATGTCAGACATGCAGCTGAGTGTCCCCACTTGAATTGTGGTCATGTCACCTAATGCAGTGGTTCCCAAACTGTGGGGGATGCTCCCCAATGCTGGAAGGGGGGCCTGAGTGAAAACGTTTGGGGAACCCCTGCCCTAATGCAGGAGGTAGTGTAGGCTAAGACTGATGGATAGATACCGTCCTGCTGATTTAGTGCGGTCTGTGAGAACACATCTCTCCATCCAACCACGGAGACTGACTGACACACTCCAACCCCAGTCCAACACTAGGCTGGAAGAGATAGCACTGATGCTATCAGACAGTGCCACAGATTTTGGGGTTTGATTAGCCTAGATTAGAGTGTCTTATGTAATTGTTTTTTTTGTGTAATATATTTTAGGTTTCTATAATGAACACTGATCTGCTCTGCTGTAACAGTCCTAACACTTTTTGTTGTAAGTTTGGTGTATTGGATTTTTCCATTTCAGGGGATTTTACCAGTGGAGATTGACATTATCCTCTCTTCCTGAGGTATACTTTCTCTATACTGATGTTACAATCAGCGCCATCTTATGCTGTACACCTCGCATCCGCCCAACAAACGTCCAACTCGTCTGAGGATCTCAAAGCTTTTTAGTGCAGCCATCTGTCAGTACTAAAATGGAGTGGAGATGTGTGCGTTCGGCGAGTCCGCTAAGCCCATGGCTGGCCCAGCTCCAGCTGATTCCAGGAGGCTGGCTGGCTGTACCCTGACGGTGTTATTAAACCAGGAGCACCACTGCACTGTACAGCCTACATTATGGCTGGCCCAGCTCCAGCTGATTCCAGGAGGCTGGCTGGCTGTACCCTGACGGTGTTATTAAACCAGGAGCACCACTGCACTGTACAGCCTACATTATGGCTGCTTCGAGCCCCCGATCAGGCAGATAAATCAACCTCCTCCCTCTGTCGGTGAGGAATAGCGAACACCATAATGAGTTAACTTTCAGAATGATCGACATCATTTATTTCCTTCCCCCCAAGGAGCCTTGTGTAGCATTAATTAATATCAAGCAACATCCCAGCGAGGGATTCATTTGGTATGCGTGTCTCTTAATTCAAGCTGAGCTTTGATTGTTGGCGCCCATGTCATTTGAGAAGTAGAAGAAGCCAGGCTGCTGTTACCATGGTATGGTTAGGCCCTATGTCTTCCTGGTAGCTTTGGCCAGGTCCGGTCACTATCAGTGTGTAGACTGACATCTAGTCACAGATATAGCAGATTATTTCCTTGGTGTCATTAAAACAAGTTGAGCTTGACAGCAGGAAATGGGACTTGACACAAAGGATGACAGTGTACCATGCTGCCAAGCTTCTCCTTTGTCTTTCTCACAATGGCACAGCCTCTGTGGCTATGATATGCTCTCTGCTCAAAGACACAAGACCTCTTCCTTTAATGGGATTTTTAATCGCTAAGCTCTAACCCCGATTTTTCTCTTTCTCTCTCTTCCCACAGAACTCAATACGGCACAATCTGTCATTGAACAAGTGTTTTCTCAAAGTGCCTCGCTCCAAAGATGACCCAGGAAAGGTAAGAAGGCAATTGTTTATTCAAACCAAAGATACAGAGATGACAGTAAATGTAGTGGAAATAAGTGGCTGGTGTCCACAGGTGGACATGCTAGTCTAGGCTCACTCTTGCAAGAAGTTCTCAATATGATCTAATGCTATCTGCACTAGAAACATGTTCACTTTGAACGCCTGCCAGTGCTCTGACAGTCTGGAAATGCATGGCATGCTCATAATCTATTATGAACGTTCCACCCCCACAAAATTGCATGGCAAATGTAAATACTGTGTTCTTTTTTTAGACCTGCAGGGCAGACAAAGTTTGACGACGTGGTAAAAAGTCACTGGCCTTGTGGGAATAGTCCAAAATAAGGCCATAGTCAGGGCATTTCAAGTAATGCTCCAAAAGTGCCTCTCAGGGGCTGGCTTATGAGGACAAAAGCCCTCAGCTCAGCACTTAGGGTGAGAGGAGAGGGAGACCACGCTGACACATACAGCACCTGCCTCCCAGCCCCTCCTGCCCTATCATCTCAGGCTGGCAGGGACTGCTGCTATGACACACCACCAGCTCCCATACCAGCCTGTTTTACCACACAATCGCTCCCATCTCTCGCACTGTCACGTGTGTTACTAGTATCTCCCGCTACGTTTTGTTTCTCACATGGTTGGACCATGTGGCCCTATATTTAGTGTATCCTGGTTATGTGAATTGGTCTAACCATATGTAAGATGGACTTAATCCCTGTTTTGTCTGGAGAACAGGCACACAGACAGAGAGAGAGAGTGGCTTGAAGCGCTGTAGAGGTTTGGGACTGAATGCTAATTTCATGTTTTGCTGTAATCCTCTGATATTGACACTCCTGGGAGCTGCACTAAATACAAAATAATCTATTGCTGTATGGGTCCCATTCCAAATGCATGGCCAACTTAATTTGGAATTTTCCTCACTCTCTTCCCCCCCCCCCGAAGACAACTTCAAAGAAGCGCTAGCCTCTCTTGATATGTTACATCAATATTGTAATGTGGCAGGAATATGAGCTGGTCGGATGAGATAGGAGAGCGAGATGATGACATGCATAGCGTACTCCTTCACCGTGGAGGTGAGGGGACAAAGTGCCGTTACGGCTCCCACTGCAGAGACCTATTTATTTGACATAATGTTAACTGGTAAGGAATGCTAAATGTGCACCATGATTTCTTTTTTATAGGTTGACATACAGTACTGTAGGAAAATCACCGTCCTCTGAGAGCAGCAGGTAATTAGGGCTTCTGGTGAAATCATCACATGGCCATCATGGCATTTGTTTAGAGACTACATGGATGATAGAGCTTGGATTCGTTACAGTTGTAGCTTACATTATGGACTGTTCTGGCTTCACTATGATGCAGTATATTTGTGAATAATTTAAGGAGTCTTTATATGGGTCTGTTTTTTTCCCCCGTCGCGTCTCAGGGGGCGTGTGGAGAAATGCAGAAACTCCCTTCCCAAGGGTTTGTGCTTAAAGATTTTTTGCCTAATTAAAAGAAACGCCGCCCGGCTCTCCACCGGCACAGTGAGTCTGAGTCTACCAGGAGCTCTAATTGAAACAGTTAACCCCAAAATCATCATACATCTAGCAGTGAAACAGATGCTATGATCAGAACACGCAGCTCACCTTCAGACGTCCTTAGACGTTTCTCTGTCCGTTACGCTCAGCCTCTTGCAGTGAAGACAACATAACCAAATATACCAACAATGGAATTAGGCTACGGAAGAGTGAATATAATGGGATTTACTTCAGCCATATATTGTTACTGCTTCTTTATCTCTGGTTGATTGCACTGTGAATTATTCTCCCTCTGAGGAAATGCTAATTGACCCCAAGCTTTGAAAATATTCAAACATATTGTATTGTTGCAGCAGTGGGGTAAAGTTGCAGTATTTCAAAATGAAAGCTAGGAGAGAAACACAGGACCGTGCTTTAGATGGCAGTAGTACCGTGACTGGAGTATGAAATGGGCCTACTACAGTACACATGTTCTATGGATGACTTTAGACACAGGTTGTTGCAACGGTACCTCTCCTCTTCTGTAGACTGACAATTTCTCTGTAAATATCAGTTATTCTCTCTGCTAAGGAAGTAATTTTAAAGGTCCTGATCTCACTTTCCCCTGACAATTGAGAATGATCTTATCAGGAGTAATATGAAATATTTTTTTAAAATCACAACTTGTAAAGGCCTGGGGGTGAGAATCTCATTTGAACCACTGTAAGCAGTGTTGCTTGTGGCTTCAGGGAGGAACAACATTGAAAAATTAATTAAATGGGGCCGAATGCAGAGATAAATAATGCAGCCAGGGAGTGGAGTTGTGTGTGGAGCTGCAGCCTCAGAGCCAGCAGGTCTATTCTCTCCTTGATTAGCTGGGCTCAGACCTGAACAGAAACCCAACACGCTGCTCCCCTGCCTGGAACAGCAGCCCAGCTACACTAGCTTCAGGAGGGGCTCACCATTTCAACAGCCCCCGTCTCTAACTAAAGAGCACCAGAGAAAAGGGAAGCCTTACCACAAAACACAGCTCCCTCCAATTACAAACAACCCAATCCATTGCTAACATCCCTGTGGTATCAGGCCAGGCAAGGCATTGTCTGTTCTGTTCTTTACTGCGGTGCTCAATGGTCCTTTCTCTCTCCACAGGGCTCCTACTGGGCCATCGACACCAACCCAAAGGAAGACGCCTTGCCCACACGGCCGAAGAAGAGGCCGCGGTCCGGAGAGAGAGTAAGTCCTCTAGTCAACACACCCTGATTCTTTGTCTTCATACAGATGTACAGTGGGGAGAGCAAGTATTTGATACACTGCCGATTTTTGCAGGTTTTCCTACTTACAAAGCATGTAGAGGTCTGTAATTTTTAGCATAGGTACACTTCACATGTGAGAGACGGAATCTAAAACAAAAATCCAGAAAATCACATTGTATGATTTTTAAGTAATTCATTTGCATTTTATTGCATGACATAAGTATTTGATCACCTACCAACCAGTAAGAGTTCCGGCTCTCACAGACCTGTTAGTTTTTCTTTAAGAAGCCCTCCTGTTCTCCACTCATTACATGTATTAACTGCACCTGTTTGAACTCATTACCTGTATAAAAGACACCTGTCCACACACTCAATCAAACAGACTCCAACCTCTCCACAATGGCCAAGACCAGAGAGCTGTGTAAGGACATCAGGGGAAAAATTGTAGACCGGCACAAGGCTGGGATGGGCTACAGGACAATAGGCAAGCAGCTTGGTGAGAAGGCAACAACTGTTGGCGCAATTATTAGAAAATGGAAGAAGTTCAAGATGACGGTCAATCACCCTCGGTCTGGGGCTCCATGCAAGATCTCACCTCGTGGGGCATCAATGATCATGAGGAAGGTGAGGGATCAGCCCAGAACTACACAGCAGGACCTGGTCAATGACCTGAAGAGAGCTGGGACCACAGTCTCAAAGAAAACCATTAGTAACACACTACGCCGTCATGGATTAAAATCCTGCAGCGCACGCAAGGTCCCCCTGCTCAAGCCAGCGCATGTCCAGGCCCGTCTGAAGTTTGCCAATGACCATCTGGATGATCCAGAGGAGGAATGGGAGAAGGTCATGTGGTCTGATGAGACAAAAATATAGCTTTTTGGTCTAAACTCCACTCGCTGTGTTTGGAGGAAGAAGAAGGATGAGTACAACCCCAAGAACACCATCCCAACCGTGAAGCATGGAGGTGGAAATATCATTCTTTGGGGATGCTTTTCTGCAAAGGGGACAGGACGACTGCACCGTATTGAGGGGAGGATGGATGGGGCCATGTATCGCGAGATCTTGGCCAACAACCTCCTTCCCTCAGTAAGAGCATTGAAGATGGGTCGTGGCTGGGTCTTCCAGCATGACAACGACCCGAAACACACAGCCAGGGCAACTAAGGAGTGGCTCCGTAAGAAGCATCTCAAGGTCCTGGAGTGGCCTAGCCAGTCTTCAGACCTGATCCCAATAGAAATTCTTTGGAGGGAGCTGAAAGTCCCGAAACCTGAAGGCTCTGGAGAAGGTCTGTATGGAGGAGTGGGCCAAAATCCCTGCTGCAGTGTTTGCAAACCTGGTCAAGGAAACGTATGATCTCTGTAATTGCAAACAAAGGTTTCTGTACCAAATATTAAGTTCTGCTTTTCTGATGTATATGTCATGCAATAAAATGCAAATTAATTACTTAAAAATCATACAATGTGATTTTCTGGATTTTTGTTTTAGATTCCATCTCGCACAGTTGAAGTGTACCTATGATACAAATTACAGACCTCTACATGCTTTGTAAGTAGGAAAACCTGCAAAATCGGCAGTGTATCAAATACTTGTTCTCCCCGCTGTAGATACCCTCGCTTAACACATGCCATTTGCCCGAAATTATGATTGGCCTCGTGTGGAAAATGGGGAAACCATATTATAAGCAATTTTGACATACAGCGCATTGTTTTTTTTTTTTTTGTCATTTTCAATCTCTACCTCCCTCTGATCGTCTCTTTGTCACATCCTCTTTCTCTGCGTCTCTCTCCTGTATACTCGCGCGTGCACACACACCTAGTAATTCATCGCTTCCCTTTATGTAACTCCCTCTCGATGTGGCTCAGCCTTGTCATGTAGCAGGGTCCTTATTAAAACTATGCCCCAGGCTGCCATTATTTACATGCACTACATGACCAAAAGTATGTGGACACCTGCTCATCGAACATCTCATTCCAAAATCATGGGCATTAATATGGAGTTGGTCCTCCCCTTGCTGCTATAATGGCCTCCACTCTTCTGGGAAGGTTTTCCACTAGATGTTGGAACTTTGCTGCGGGGACTTGCTTCCATTCAGCCACGAGTATTAATGAAGTCGGGCACTGATGTTGGGCGATTAGGCCTGGCTCGCAGTCGGCGTTCCAATTCATTCCAAAGGTGTTCGATGGGGTTGAGGTCAGGGCTCTGCAGGCCCAATGGGCGGCAGGTAGCTTAGTGGGTAAGAGCATTGTGCCAGTAACCGAAAGGTCGCTGGTTCTAATCCCCGAGGCGACTAGGTGAAAAACCTGTCGATGTGCCCTTGAGCAAGGCACTTAACCCTAATTGCTCCTGTAAGTCGCTCTGGATAAGAGCGTCTGCTAAATGACCAATTTATTTATTTATTTAAGTTCTTCCACACCGATCTCGACAAACCATTTCTGTATGGACCTCGCTTTGTGCATGGGGGCATTGTCATGCTGAAACAGGAAAGGGCCTTCCCCAAACTGTTGCCACAAAGTTGGAAGCACAGAATCGTCTAGAATGTCATTGTATGCTGTAGCGTTAAGATTTCCCTGCACTGGAACTAAGGGGCCTAGCCCGAACCATGAAAAACCGCCCCTGACCATTATTCCTCCTCCACCAAACTGTACAGTTGGCAATACGCATTGGGACAGGTAGCGTTCTCCTGGCGTATGCCAAACCCAGATTCAGTCGTCGGACTGCCAGATGGTGAAGTGCGATTCATCACTCCAGAGAACGCGTTTCCACTGCTCCAGAGTCCAATGGCGGCGAGCTTTACACCACTCCAGCCGACGCTTGGCATCGCGCATGGTGTTCTTATGCTTGTGTTCGGCTGCTCGGCCATGGAACCCATTTAGTGTGCTGACGTTGTTTCCAGAGGCGTTTGGAACTCAATAGTGAGTGTTGCAACCGAGGACAGAAATTTACGCGCTACGAGTTTCAGCACTCACCAGTCCCGTTCTGTGAGCTTTTGTGGCCTACCAATTTGCGGCTGAGCCGTTGTTGCTCCTAGACGTTTCCACTTTACAATAACAGCACTTACAGATGACCGGGGAATCTCTAGCAGGGCAGAAATTTTATAAACAGACTTGTTGGAAAGGTGGCATCCTATGACGGTGCCACGTTGAAAGTCAGAGTTTTTCAGTAAGGCCATTCTACTGCCAATGTTTGTCTATGGAGATTGCATGGCTGTGTGCTCTGTTTTATACACCTGTCAGCAACAGGTGTGGCTGAAATAGACACATCTACTAATTTGAAGGGGTGTCCACATACTTTTGTGTGTATATATAGTGTACATTGTATTCTGCAGTAATGTTTCTGAACAAACAAATAATGGTTATACTGAGCGGGAGCTTTTGTCTTTAAATATGCATGAGTCGTGTCCAGTGTAATGTACAGCTTCACTGGTTTGGTCAAGTGCCCAGATTGACCTGGCTCCATCCCTTTCTCCCAGGCCACTGCAGTCTGGCCTCCCCTGTGTAGCCCACCATAGGCTACAAGACACACAGGGGAGCTTCTGTTGAAACACTGAGACAAAGAGAAAGGCAAACGCACCCACTCCGTTAACCACCCACGTGTGTGTCTATCTGTGGTAGTAAGATAGGGAGACGGATCGAGCGACGCACATCCCATTCTATGCATGTGTGTGTGACACGCACTGTATGTGTAAATGAGCTTAAATATAGTCATTGTGTAATTCAAAAGCATGACAAATGCACAGTATTCACACTATTCACCCTCTCAAGTTTGTACATGTATGTTGTTAGTATGACACGTGCACGCCACCCTCCCCTAGAGCTGTGGCTGTCTGCCTACAAGGCATTCCATTAAGTCCTCAGACAGTAGAAATGGTGAATCTCATTTATGTTTATCAAGAATTAAAAATGGTATTGTTGCCAGCCAATCCTCTTACAGTAAGCAGTTTTGGGAGACAGGCGTGGTGGAGTCATCTCCCGAGCCGTGTGGGGAGCAATGGGGACTCTTTTCTCCATCGCCTCTGGAAATATTTCAAATGTGACCTAAATAAAGGGGTTGCTCCTTTTTTGTTATTTATAAATGGTCCTGATGTATTTTACGTACTGGAGATCTGCATCCCTCCCTCTTGCCTGGAAGGAAAACTAGCTTTCCAACAAACACGGCAACATGAGTGTTAGGACCTTTACCTCCACATGTGGCTTGAGGTCCTGTATTATTCTGATAATTAGTTAAGAACTATTATTTTTGTGGTCCTTTATTTGATAATTAGTGATTATTTTTGGTCTCCCTCCCCCAGGCTTCCACACCGTACAGCCTGGAGTCGGAGTCTTTGGGAATGGACTGTATGATCTCTGGAAGTGCCTCTCCAACGCTGGCAATCAACACTGTGACTAACAAGGTACCTACCCAGCATGCACCTGCACACACTGCACCACCCTGACCCTCCCTCCCTCCACCCACCCACCCACCCACCCACCCACAGCTTATTCCCCACTGAGAGTAGCACTCAACTAGGATAAACACACACACACACACACACACACACACACACACACACACACACACACACACACACACACACACATATATTTACTGCTTCTTTCCAGTACATCTCACACTAACACACAGCTGCACTGCAGCACAAGAAGCACTGTATACATAGGTACTGTAGTGGTGAGTATGTGAGCGGTCAGAAATCCCACTCATTGCTCACGGAGCGGTCTTTGCACACCGTTCCAGCACTCAATGTACTTCCCTCCGCTCTGCAAAAAAATGCCGCTCCATAAATTTGGGGTTTAAAATATAATTATTTGGTTTTGAAGTAGGCTATCATAACAAGCTTCAACATTTCAACAACATGTTGTAGGGCAGACAATTAAACAAGGACCTACCTGATTGTCTTGCCATCAATTACACGGGCTGTGTAACCTATTTCTTGGTCGACTCATATCAACATCTCAGCGCGTTAGCGGTGGGGTAGGTTAAATAAATACAACAGGATAGCCCTGATTTTTAAAAGAACCGTGATGAAGGAAATAAAAAATGCTGGGCAGAGCATGCCTAGAGCTCGTGGCTGAGTGGGACCGGAGCAAAATTGGAGTGAGGGAGAAGGCCGAGCCAACATTAAAAAAAAATACGCTCCAGCCAAATTAGGCACGCTCCACTCCAGCTCCATTCCGCTCACATATACACACACACAGCACCACAACAAGGGATTACGCGTACTGTGAAATACGATAGCGATACTCGGCCGTTCTGCAATATGATAGACCCTACACACAGACTTTGCTCTGTGTGATACTCTACACACTAGGGTTGAGGTCAATTCAGAAAGTGCACTGATATTCCCATTCTTTTCAATGTGGAAAATGTCGAATTGGAATTTGGTTTACTTGTTGAATTGACTGGAATTTAAATGGAACTGACCCCAATCCTGCTAACACACCTGGAAGCTAAAGGAAGTTGATGCCCAGTCCTTCTCTTCTCTGTCCATCAGTGTGGTTGGGGACATTACCCTCTCTGCTGCAGGGCTTTGTGTGTGTGTGTGTGGATGGCCCATACTGTATAAACCTCACTGCAGAGAGATGGAGGGAGAAACCACAGAGACTGCAAGCTGTTGGCTCTGAGTGCGCTCTTCACTCTGAAATTGAAATAGGCTTTTTAACCTTAAGCCCTCTCCTCTGGGCCCAGTGGGGGCAGCTCTCTGGAGGACTTTTAAAAAGCCTACAAGAGTCGCTTATTCATTTACTGCAGCAGGCATTAAAAAAAGACTGGGTTTAATATAAATGGCCGGGAGGCGGGGTGCTCTGGGGTAGAGTAGTTGGGGTGGGATGTGTTGGAGTGCAGTGTGTGTCTGGCCGTGTGTGTGGCCGTGTGTGTGTGTGTGTGTGTGTGTGTGACCGTGTGTAAATTCAGTGGGCAGTTAGGGGAGTGTTGTTTTGTGTGAGTGTCTGCCTGTTGTCAGAGGCCTGTCTTTGGGGTGTGGGAGGTGCGCTGTATACACACACATACAACACACGCTTCTGTCTTTCCTCCTCCCACCTCAACAAATAAGCACTTGGCATTGATTTGCCGGGGAGGTTTCAAACCTCAGTTGGGCATTTAACACGGACGTCCTCCATAGAAGAACAACAGTTTGATTTCACACCATAAGAATCATGCGCTGGAAAACAAAACAAAAACACAACTTCTGAACATGCCCGCTCCAGGCAAGATTACAGCAGGGCTGTGTGTGTGTGTGAGAGGATGTTATTATGTGTCTTTTTGTTCTCCTGATTATAACTGTTGCTATAGTAAAGGTAAGATCGCAGCAGCAGATCTGAGCCCTACTCCTGAGAGAGCTGGTTTCTCATTGTAATACACTGTAAATGCACAACTGGCCACGCCTCTTTCAGTGCACTGTGCCAAACCACAGGAATTCCCTCTCCCTCTCTATCCCCCTCTCTATTTTCTCTCTCAAATTCCCGCCTTCTCTGAGAGGTCAATGGGAGGTTGTGTCAGGACTACAGAAACCAGTGAGAATCCCGCCACTGTCCTTCAGACATTCCTCTTTCTCTCTCCCTCATTCCCTCTTAAACAAACACACATTATTTCTCTATTCTGAGGTAGACGGAAGTCTGGCACTAGTGTGCTAAAGGAAGGGGATTGTAGAGAGAAGTGTGTTTACTGAGGAGAAGTCTGGCCTTGTGCTTTGCTTCTCTCTCTCTCTCTCGCTCTCTCTCTCTCTCTCTCCCTCTTAAATCCCCTGAAGAGGGATTCTGCAGAACACTGGCTGGTATTGTTAGACACCTGGGTGAATCTCGCTTTGATTTCATAATCCATGTCTCATGCTCCAGATTAGACTCATGTAAAAGACACCCCTGTTTTTTTTACTTAATTCACTGCTAAGAATATCACACACACTGACTCCCTACCACCAGACACACATCAGGATTTCTTGTAGAGGGAGCTGCTGCCTGTGTGAGCACACTTGTCTTTGTTAGGACTGCATGACTTTTTGTGCTTGTTTGTCTGTATTTCTGTGTGTGCTGTGAGCAGTGTGTGTGCTGTGAGCAGTGTGTGTGTGCTGTGAGAGTCATGATGACACTGGGTGTTCGTCTGTGACTGTGGTGTGCATGCTCGAGTGGGCGTCTTGACTCGGACTCTGGGGTCTGTGGAAACCACAGAGGAGTGAGCTTTGGAAGTCATCACACTTTATGGATGAGGAGAGGATAAATTGATTAATGGCGAGCAGCTTAAGGCTAAAATCCTCTTTCACGACTTCATTACACATAACATTTCTATTTCTGCAGCACACTGAGTTTGATTTGCATTGTAGTGCTGATTCTCAGACGTGCCTAAGCCCTCAGTCTTAGCCGTTCATTGAGTTCCCCGTTCACGCTAATGAACACTGGAGCCCAGCCCACACTGAGTGGTGGAAGGCTAGAGTCGACTAATGAGCTTCTCTAACGTCCCCTTCCCCCACCACACTTACAATACAATGTAATGCAATGCAACACAATGCAATGCAATAATACTGGATCCAATGCTCTCTCTTCTGACTGTTGTCATTAAAGCACAACATTTCTGTGTCATTCTCTGGCTGAGAAAGTGAGAGCTTAGAATGACAGACTATACTGAGTGAGAGTAGGAGCCAGATCTGGGTTCAAATGATATTTGTTTTCTTTCATAATATAGAATATAATAAATACTTTCAACGTTTGGTTTGATTAAGCTTTCCCTGGTTTGAGATTTGCTGGGTTTTCACTTTTGTGACTTCCATTGTGCCAGGCAAGCACAATCATGCACAAGTACTGGAGGGCGGTCAGGCCTGGACTTCCCTCTGGCCTCAGAAAGCAAAGCAGCCTTCATGTCCTGCTGTTGTGTGTTAGACCGAGAGGGAGAGGGCGCAGGCAGGGCCACAGCCACTCGGCCCAAAGGCTGCATGTCTCATTGTGCAGAGCACAGAGCCCAGCCTTGTTCCACTCAGCCTGATGAGCAGGGAGCCCCGGCCGGCCACTGGGCAAGACTGGGACGCATCACCAGCACAATCCAGGCTGAGGCTGCCAAGACCTGCATGGTCTGTCACACCAGTTTTTCCCTAAGGATTTTTTTCAGCTGTGGTTTTAGAGGCCTTCTTGGATGCAGAGACAAAAGGTTAATGTTTTTTAAAGCACATTTTCTGAAATTCTACAAATTTTGCTATAGCTTATGCCTTGTTCTTATGCTATCTGAGTGACTCAAACATTATAACAAAATCAATGGTGGCTCCATGCCATGACATTTTTGGAATTTCTGATTCTCCCGGACTGTCTAGTTTTTATTTTGGTGATTGTTAGTTCTCAAAGAATATCTTATTTAAAAAAAAATACACATAGGTCCATTATCTTTTCTATGTACTTTGTATCTGTTTTAGTCATTTAAGTTTACACTGAAAACATTTTACCATCCCATGTTTTGTATTTGTATAATAAAATAAAAAACTAATGCAGTGGCGGCCACGATTCTGCCTCTGCTAAATGCATATAAGGGTAACCCTGCACACACACCAGCCAGCCGCCTCACGCATAGCTGCCATTCCACACAATGGAAAAAAACTGAATGCAGCGGCTATTCTCTCCGGATCTCATTATATTCATTACCAGATTGTTTCTACCGCCAATGCTAATTATTTGCGGTCTGTTGTGTTACGCCACAATGCACTTTTTTCCCCTTAGCAAAACCTTTTCAGATGATAATAATGAAGATGGTTGTTTTGAAGTGCTCTGGCTGCTTGCGTTGCTGTATTGAAAGGTCAGGGTCTCGGTTACATTGAAGACCTTTGTTGGCCGTCCCAAACCGATTTGCGCACTGTGAGCAGATGGGTCTGACACGGCCAGTAGTGTGACCTTTAGTAAAGAAGGGGACGTCCACCCTTACCTATCCAGAAAGAAGAGCCTTTACCTGGACACTTATTCAGAAGAGACCCCTGGGGCTCTGCTGGTTGTGTAGCCTCAGTAAAGGTGTTCCAGGCCAGCCACAATCTCAGTTCAGAGAAAGCACTCTGCAGTAATGACAAGTGCTAACATCCAGTACACAAAAGCTTTGCATACACGCACAGGTATCAAATTCCTAGACACACGCACACACACAAATCAAATTCAGTTTGTTACGGAACCAAACTGATTTGCATGCATTTTTACCATCAGAATGATAATGATTTTAGATGGCATGCAGTCATTACTGGAAACCCTGTTGGTGTATCTCCAGGATGTGCGGTATGCAAGAAAAGCTAATGCAATGCCTTTCATCATATTTCAGGTGGCATTATACAACCCAGATCAGGATGGGAGTGACAGCCCAAGAAGCAGCCTTAACAACAGCCTGTCTGACCAGAGTCTGGCCTCAGTCAATCTAAACAGCGTGCACAGTTACACACCGGTAAGACCTTAACTGCAGCCTCTAACCACAGTGCTACAGCTCTACACACTGCTAAGACCAAGCACCACAAACAACTACAGGATCACAGCTAGACACAATTTAGACCTTGTACAGTGCATTTGTAAAGTATTCAGACCCCTTTTTCCACAATTTGTTACGTTACAGCCTTATTCTAAAATTGATTGAATTATTTGTTTTCCTCATCAATCTATATACCCCATAATGACAAAGTGAAAACAGGTTGTAATTTTATTTTGCAAATGCATTAAAAATAAAAAAACATACCTTATTTACATAAGTATTCAGACCCTTTGCTATGAGACTCGAAATTGAGCTCAGGTACATCCTGTTTCCATTAATCATCCTTGAGATGTTTGTACAAATTGATTGGAATCCACCTGTGGTAAATTCAATTCATTGGACATGATTTGGTAAGGTACACACCTGTCTATATAAGGTCCCACAGTTGACAGTGCATGTCAGAGCAAAAACCAAGCTATGAGGTTGAAGGAATTGTCTGTAGAGCTTTGAGACAGGATTGTGTCAAGGCACAGATCTGGGGAAGGGTAGCAAAACATGTCTGCAGCATTGAAGGTCCCCAAGAACACAGTGGCCTCTATTCTTAAATTCTTAAAAATAAGTTTATAACCACCAAGATTCTTCCTAGAGCTGGCCGCCTCGCCAAACTGAGCAATCGGGGGAGAAGGGCCTTGGTCAGGGAGGTGACCAAGAACCCGATGGGCACTCTGACAGAGCTCCAGAGTATCTCTGTGGAGATGGGAGAACCTTCCAGAAGGACAACCATCTCTGCAGCACTCTACAAATCAGGCCTTTATAGTAGAGTGGCCAGATGGAAGCCACTCCTCATAAAAGGCACATGACTGCCCGCTTGGAGTTTGTCAAAAGGCACCTAAAGGACTCTGACCATGAGAAACATGGCCTGAATGCCAAGTGTCATGTCTGGAGGAAACCTTGCACCATCCCTACGGTGAAGCATGGTGGTGGCAGCATCATGCTTTGGGGACGTTTTTCAGCGGCAGTGACTGGGAGACTACTCAGGATCAAGGGAAAGATGAATGGAGCAAAGTACAGAGATCCTTGATGAAAACCTGCTCCAGAGCGCTCAGGACCTCAGACTGGGGCGAAGGTTCACCTTCCAACAGGACAACGACCCTAAGCACACAGCCAAGACAACGCAGGAGTGGCTTCGGGACAAGTCTCTGAATGTCCTTGAGTGGCCCAGCCAGAGCCAATGAATACTGAATACTTTCCGAATGCGCTATATATCAACCTCTAACCACAGTGCTAAGCACCAGCGAAGACCAAAGAAGCACCACAAATCACTGCCACTGTATCACAGCTAGACATACAGTAATTTAGACTATGTATGTCAATCTGTAATCACACTGACAGCTATATACCTCTAAGACCGAGATCCTAAAACAGCTACTGTCTGCAACACAGCTAGACATACAGTAATTTAGACCGTGCATGCCGACCCCTAACCGCAGTATCACAGTTACATAGCGGTTAGTTAGCTGAAACCCTGGAACTTTAACACAGTGAAGCAGCTCCACTCTGAAGGCAGTGCCCCCGACCGGGGGGGGTTGAGAGAGAGAGAGAGAGATCTGTACACGCTCTTGGAGAGCAGATGGAGAGCTTGCTGCCTGTGATGTCCTCCCACCAGAGATGCCCCCTTCTTTGGTGTGGTCCTCCCGCTTTCCAGGGCGCTCTCTGCTCCAGGCTCTCTGCATCGATCCGTTCAGACTGATGGATGTTCCTCCAGTGCTGCTGAGACCAGTCTCTTCTTATTACTGCCTCACTTCAGCCAGCCAGACTCTGACTGGATTCTATAGCAAGGCAATCTATACTGTAGCCCCAGAGTATGGCTTCAAAGCCTTTAAGTGAAAATAAGGAATCTTCCTAGCGACAGAGTAGTGATGGCTCCATTATTAGTGTCCTTCACATGTTAAACCTGGGATGGCTTGAACGCTACCTCTGTGATGCGGAGGTAAAAAATTTGGACTTTAACTTCCAGACTACTTTTAAGTCTCCTCAGTTATAGGATAGTGATGACTCCATATTAGTGTTCTTCTCATGATGATAAACTTTAGACAGTCTTGCTAGAGCACAACATTGCCTGCATTCTCATACACCAGCTGATAAAAATCGACCCCCACGCGTATACTGTACATGGGTAAAATGAATGGTTATTTGTACAAGGCTTTGGTATTGATTTTGTTTTAAATACATTTTGCAGGCCATCTGAGTATTGGCTTAGTGTTCATGTTGGTTACTAGTTGAGATGAGGCTGCAAGCAGCGATCAAGACTGTCAAAGGCAAGTAAGTAGCTGATAGATTGAAGAATGACCACTGTACACGCTGACATTTAGCTGCTTATACATGTTCATTATGTTTTCTTAGAGGTTCGATTAGCTTAGTAGACAGGACTAAGATATAGGCATAGATCTGTTACACGCAAAACGTGTTTATTTATTTAGTGCAATGTTTCAGTTTCGCTCTTGTTCTCCAGTAGATCTATGTGCAGATATCCACCGATATCTCTGAGAAGTGTTTCCCCAGTCGAGAGTCAGTTTGATGGCGTAATCAGCACTCTTCAACCGTTAAAGTGAAAGTTGTATTCTGTTTGACTGTAATAGGTTTGTATTGTGGATAGTATGTTAGACTGAGGTGTGACCGCTAGCTTGTACTGAATGACTGAATAATAGTGTTAGGTACTAAGAAGAGTAGATTTGATTTAATTCACTGCTCCAAAATCTCTCTCCTCTCTTTCTCGTCCTCTCCTGCTCTCTCTCTTCCTCCCCAGGTGACTAACCATCCAGAGCCAGTGTCTCAGTCCATGAGCCTCCAGCAGCCCCTCCAGCAGCCCCCCCAGCCCCAGTACAGTATGCCAGAAAGGGACAAGCAACTCCTATTCTCCGACTTTGAAGATCTCAGTGCCTCCTTCCGCAGCCTTTACAAGTCTGTCTTTGAGCAGTCCTTCAGCCAACAGGGTGAGTGCTCGTCAAGTGGGGTGACACATATCGGGTGCTGTAGTAGACAAGTTTGCGCACGAGGCCAGGGTTATTCTATGGCCATTGTTTTGCACTAAACTGTTGGTCAAAGGAGAGTAGAATTGGTACTAATTAAGTTAAGTGAGTTGGATGAATAGTGATTCAATAGGCAGTAGTCGTAGTGCAAATCCATATGGCTGTTTTCATGGTCTACTGTGTGCTAAAGCCACATGCTAAATCCTCTGGCCTCATTCCCAATCTAAGCACAAAAGAGTCAGAGTTCAAAGCAGAATAATGCAGTCGGTTAATGTGTGTGTGTGTGTGTGTGTGTGTGTGTGTGTATGGAATCATGTAGTTACCAAAAAAAGTGTTAAACAAATCAAGATATATTTTATATTTGAGATTCTTCAAATAGCCACCCTTTGCCTTTATGACAGTCTCCAAACTTTTGACTGGTAGTATATAGATAGATAGATAGATAGATAGATAGATAGATAGATAGATAGAGTTGAAGTCGTAAGTTTACATACACTTAGGTTGGAGTCATTAAAACTTGTTTTTCAACCATTGCACAAATTTCTTGTTAACAAACTATCGTTTTGGCAAGTCGGTTAGGACATCTACTTTGTGCATGACACAAGTAATTTTTCCAACAATTGTTTACAGACAGATTATTTCACTTATAATTCACTGTATCACAATTCCAGTGGGTCAGAAGTTTACATACACTAAGTTGACTGTGCCTTTAAACAGCTTGGAAAATTCCAGAAAATGATGTCATGTTTTTAGAAGCTTCTGGCTAATTGACATCATTTGAGTCAATTGGAGGTTTACCTGTGGATGTATTTCAAGGCCTACCTTCAAACTTTGCTTGACATCATTGGAAAATCAAAATACTTCAGAAAAGAAATGGTAGACCTCCACAAGTATGGTTCATCCTTGGGAGCAATTTCCAAACGCCTGAAGGTACCACGTTCATCTGTACAAACAATAGTACGCAAGTATAAACACCATGGGACCACACAGCCGTCATACCGCTCAGGAATGAGACGCTTCTGTCTCCTAGAAATGAATGTACTTTGGTGCGAAAAGTGCAAATCAATCCCAGAACAACAGCAAAGGACCTTGTGAAGATGCTGGAGGAAACAGGTACAAAAGTATCTATATCCACAGTAAAATGAGTCCTATATCGACATAACCTGAAAGGCCGCTCAGCAAGGAAGAAGCCACTGCTCCAAAACCGCCATAAAAAAGCCAGACTACGGTTTGCAACTGCACAAAGATTGTACTTTTTGGAGAAATGTCCTCTGGTCTGATGAAACAAAAATAGAACTGTTTGGCCATAATGACCATCGTTATGTTTGGAGAAAAAAGGGGGGTGGCTTGCAAGACGAAGAACACCATCCCAACCGTGAAGCACGGGGTGGCAGCATCATGCTGTGGGGGTGTTTTGCTGCAGGAGGGACTGGTGCACTTCAAAAAATAGATGGCATCATGAGGAAGGAAAATTGTGGATATATTGAAGCAACATCTCAAGACATCAGTCAGGAAGTTAAAGCTTGGTCGCAAATAGGTCTTCCAAATGAACAATGACCCCAAGCATACTTCCAAAGTTGTGGCAAAATGGCTTAAGGACAACAAAGTCAAGGTATTGGAGTGGCCATCACAAAGCCCTGACCTCAATCCTATAGAAAATGTGTGGGCAGAACTGAAAAAGCGTGTGCGAGCAAGGAGGCCTACAAACCTGACTCAGTTACACCAGCTCTGTCAGGAGGAATGGGCCATAATTCACCCAACTTATTGTGGGAAGCTTGTGGAAGGCTACCTGAAACGTTTGACCCAAGTTAAACAATTTTTAAAGGCAATGCTACCAAATACTAATTGAGTGTATGTAAACTTCTGACCCACTGGGAATGTGATGAAAGAAATAAAAGCTGAAATAAATAATTCTCTCTACTATTATTCTGACATTTCAAATTCTTAAAATGAAGTGGTGATCCTAACTGACCTAAAACAGGGAATTTTTACTAGGATTAAATGTCAGGAATTGTGAAAAACTGAGTTTAAATGTATTTGGCAAGGTGTACGTAAACTTCCAACTGTAGATAGATAGATAGATATCTATCCATCTATCTATCTATCTATCTATCTATATACTACCAGTCAAACGTTTGGAGACTGTCATAAAGGCAAAGGGTGGCTATTTGAAGAATCTCAAATATAAAATATATTTTGATTTGTTTAACACTTTTTTGGTTACTACAGGATTCCATGTGTGTTATTTCATAGTTTTGATGTCTTCACCATTATTCTACAATGTAGAAAATAGTAAAAATAAAGAAAAACCCTTGAATGAGTAGGTGTGTCCAAAATGTTGACTGGTAATGTGTGTGTGTGTGAGAGAGAAAAGTGTAAATGCAGCCTGTAATCTCGTATATTTTTACGATGTTTTATATATGTATTCTTTATTTCAGATGATTACAAGATTGCAGCATCAAACCTCTATATCTGTTGGCGCATTTTCCATAATGATGATATTCATAATAATATAAACCTATCACAAAGGGCCAGATCAAGTGTGGCTCTCAAAGCCTGGCAGCCCTTTAGAACTTAATGCTTTTTGTTTGTAATCTGATTGACTGATGAACAAAAAGCACTTGACAAGTGGTTTATGGGCAAACGCAGACAAAGCTTTTCCTTGTATAACCTACTTTCACAAATCAAATGCATTTCATGTTAATGTTTTCAAAGTCTTCCTCTCCCTTAATCTATCATCTAGGTTTCATTAGTTTAAAGTTGTTACCTTTTTATATGCATAAAAGTGAAATCTCTTTGTCAGACAAGCCCTTGCAATTAAAAAGTGTAAATAAGCGAGCGAGACCATTTCACACCCTGGTGCTGTAGACAGTGAGCTAATTCACCAGCTTTGATAATAGGTAATGAGCTCACATTATTATTCTGGGGCTGCAGGCTAATTGCTTTCTGTATTTCCCTGGTTGGACAATGGGCTTTCTGTACCGATAAGAGATGCACCTTTGGTCACCCCTGCAGTGAGTGTTCTGGGGCGATTGCGGCGGCACAGGGCTGAAGTCGGCTCTAAAAGCACTCCAGTGAAATAGGTTTACCGTGCCAAAGCCGTGATGGACAGGGCCTCTTAAGAACCGCTCCCCTACACTCAGATGATTGCTGTTGGATGTGCAGATGTTCCAGTCGTGCTTGTTTTTCGAAATAGTGCAGCAACACAATGAAAATTGTCGAAAATAATTGCAGTGTTGGGAAGAAGAAAGGCTCGGGCTCTCTGTGGCCTTCAGAAGCTCTGCTGCTGCTGACCCGTTCTTTTAGCTGCTCGTTCAAAATGGCAGCTGTGTCGTCTGAAGTGTAGTGCTCCTTGAACAAGGGAAACCCAGATCTACTGATTATATGATGTTGTCATCATTAACTTGAATGGGTGCTTTTACAGCTGAAACCTACAAGCCTGCTTGGTGTTAATGACTTATCTGCAATATTTAAGTGGTTTGCTGTAGTTTGTAACATTGTATGTTTATATCAAATAATGACTATTCTCCTAAGCACAGAGTAATAAGGATGACTGTGTGTGTGTGTATATGGACTTCCAGGTTTGATGGGCATGCCGACGGAGTCGTCCCAGCAGACCCATACCGCCTGCTCCTATCAGCACTCCCCCAGTGGCACCATCAGCACCCAGAACAGCCTGACAAACAACCACTCCAGCAGCGGTGGCCAGGTGCCCCTGTCCCACCCTCCCCAGCTCCCGGGCCACGGCTCGCCCCACACACAGCACCTCTCCCAGCACGGCCAACACGCCCAACACACCCAGCACCAACACCCACACTCTCAGCATGGGCAGCACCCCTCACACGCCCAGCACCCGCAGCAGCACACCCCGCACCCCTCCCAACATGCCCAGCAGCACGGCCAGCATCCCTCCCAGCAGCAGCATCAGAGCCTGGCTCACCAGCCCCATCCTGCCCAGCAACAGATGGCCTGCAACACAGGTAAGACCTGCCTCTTTCCTCCGCAACACACTCACACACACACTCACACACACACACACACATACACACACACACATACACACACACACACACACATATTCACATGCATTCAGAGATAACCCAGTGAGACACAGCTGGACTGAGCTGCCTCAGTATCTTTTTGTTCTGCATTAAGTACAGAGACCTGCTTTTGGTCAACAGACCGTAAATCATCATCTGATTTATGCGGTTTGCTGTAATGAGAACAAAGCAAATGCTGCATCCATACAGCAGATAGGACCTCTGGAGCCCCACAACCTTTTTAGAGGGAACCGGCTCCTCCCGGTGGCCAAAGTAGAGTACTCTTGCAAATAAATGAAATGCTGATTGCTCTCCAGCCTCTAAAACCCAGTCTGTACTCCCCTCTGTGTTTGCAGGTCTGCCCTCTGACTGGTACCCCAATCTGGACGCACTGAAAGAGAGCTGCCGTATTGCCAGCAGTTATAACTGGGCTGATGTCGACCTCTCACCTTTTCAAGGTGTGGCCATGAAGGATTATGTGAATTCCATTGCATTGACACATCCAACTTAAGCCTTAAGAGATAAGCGAACAAATTATACAGTTGGCTTATTTTTGCAATGTGTTAGGCCTTTTAATATTCTTCTTATTGTCAACCTGTTATTTTTTTACCAATATTTTTAAAAGCTGTTCATTGTGATTACAAGAGTCATTTTATCCAAATGATTGAATGCCTTAATGCCCGTGATGAGCACCAACAGGCACGTTTATTGGAGCTCTGTCATTGGTGTGCTGAAGTGTTGCCAATCAAGGGTTTAATTTGAAGGAGCTCTTCAAATAAAGAACGCTGCTTTCAAGTTTAATGACCAAATGCAGTGTAGCTCAGCAGGTCAGAGTTGATCCAATTACAAATCAAATTTTATTTTATTTGTCACATGCGCCGAATACAAGTGTAGACTTTACTCTGAAATGCTTACTTACGAGCTCTTTCCCAACAATGCAGTTAAAAATTAAGAAAATTAGCAAATAGATAAAGAAAAAAAGTAACACAATAAAATGACAATAACGCGGCTATAAACAGGCTATATACAAGGAGTACCCGTACCGAATCAGTGTACTGGGGTATGAGGTAGTTGGGGTGATTTGAGGTAATATCTAAATGTAGGTTTGGTTAGGTGATTGATTTAAGTATGACAGGGAGCTCGGTGATGCACTGGGCCGTACGCACTACCCTTTGTAGCGTCTTGTGGTCGGATGCCGAGCCGTTGCCATACCAGGCGGTGATGCAGCCAGTCAAGATGCTCTGAATGGTGAAGCCGGATAACTTTTTGAGGATATGCCTAATCTTTTCAGCCTCCTGAGGGGGAAGAGGCGTTGTCGTACCCACTTCACGACTATGTTGGTGTGTTTGGACCATGATGGGTCCTTAGTGATGTGGACACCATGGAACTTGAAGCTCTCGACCGTCTCCACTGCAGCCCCGTCGATGTGAATGGGGGCGTGCTTGGTCCTCCTTTTCCTGTAGTCCACGATCAGCTCTTTTGTCTTGCTGAAGTTGAGGGAGAGGTTGTTGTCCTGGCACCACACTGCCAGGTCTCTGACCACCTCCCTGTAGGCTGTCTCATCGTCGTTGTTAGTCAGGCCTCCCACCGTTGTCGTCAGCAAATGTAATGATGGTGTTGGAGTCGTGTGCGGCCATGCAGTCGTGGGTGAACAGGGAGTACAGGATGAGGGTCATCGTGGCGGATGTGTTTTTGCTTACCCTCACCACCTGAGGGGCGGCCCGTCAAAGTCTAAAATCCAATTGCAGAGGGAGCTGTTTAATCCCAAGGTCCTTAGCTTAGTGATGAGCTTGGAGGGCACTATTGTGTTGAACGCTGAGCTCTCGTCAATGAACATAATTCTCACGTAGGTGTTCCTTTTGTCCAGGTGGGAAATGGCAGTGTGGAGCGCAATAGAGATTGCATCATCTGTGGATCTGTTGGGGCGGTATGCGAATTGGAGTGGGTCCAGGGTGTCTGGGATGATGGTGTTTATGTGAGCCATGACCAGCCTTTCAAAGTTTTTCATGGCTACAGATGTGAGTGCTACGGGTTACCTTGGCGTTCTTGGGGCACGGGGACTATAGTTTACAAGTCCTGCCACATCCGACGAGCGTCGGAGCCGGTGTAGTAGGATTCGATCTTAGTCCTGTATTGACGCTTTGCCTGTTTGATGGTTCGTCGGAGGGCATAGCGGGTTTTCTTATAAGCGTCCGGATTTGTGTCCCGCTCCTTAAAAGCGGCAGCTCTAGCCTTTTAGCTCAGTGTGGATGTTGCCTTTAATCCATGGCTTCTGGTTGGGGTATGTTCGTACGGTCACTGTGGGGATTACGTCATCGATGCACTTATTAATGAAGCCGGTGGCTGATGTGATAAACTCCTCAATGCCATCAGATGAATCCCGTAACATATTCCAATCTGTGCTAGCGAAGTATACAATAGCAAAGTAGGTTTTAATTAGATATCACCGCTAAAGGTTAGTTATGTAATAAAGGATGTTTTTTACATAGACAAACTTATCTACACCCACTTTTGACATTTATGTGGCGTGGACATTTTGACTGGTGATTTTTATAACTCAACTGTTGTCGAGACATTTCACTGCAGTGACTAGCAGCTAGTACTACTGAAATGGTTTGACTGGTGTGATGCTGAGGTGGCTGTGTATTGCTGTTTTCCTTGGCTGATGATGCATTTGGGTCTGACCCCGTGCAGGACTGAAGGAGAGCATGAGACAAGCAGAGCTGAACAACTGGTCCCTGGAGCCCACCCAGATCGCTGATCTCTGCTCGTCTATCAACCAGTTCTTCACCCGCACCGGTGTCATTCAGCCACAGGGGGCAGTGCAGCCACCGCCCGTACCCGTATGCCATGGCTCCATGCACCCCAACAAGCCCAGCCAGCACATCACCACAGGTCAGTGAGCCTCACCTCTAACCTACGTCCTAGCTCACACTATTATTGCATTTAGCATTTCAGACCACTCACATTATCAGGACATTGATGATATTTTCCTTTTAATGTGAACTTACATTGCAATAATGCTGGGGATGATGAGGATTGTTTAAGCTAGCGCATACATTATTTTGGGATTGGGATATTTGAGTGAAGTTTGTCTTTCTCTCCACAGGAAATCTCTACATGGACTCCAGACAGAGCATGTCTATGATGGGGCCCCCAGGGTACCCCCACATGCCCCCCATGAGCAGCGCAGGCCCCACCATGACAGGTACAGTACATCTGCAGCCCCCATTCAACTAAACTATGTCTCAGCCAAGGGCATGGTCTATACAGTACACTCAGAATCCATCAAACCTATCCTTCCACATTAAACAAGCACTACAACAACACCTTGACAGGGTCCTTTTCCCATTCAACTACTCATTTAACCAATGAAGCTTCTACAGTGTATGTGTATTTGTGTGTGCCCTCACTCCCCTTCTCTCCTCTCTTAGGACACCATGCGCAGATGAACCAGCAGCACATGATCCCTCCCAGAAACTTCCAGATGCACCGCATGCCAGCAGATGACATCCAGGATGACTTTGATTGGGACTCCATTGTCTAATGTTAGATGTTCTGCCCCTAACGAGGAGCGTCCAGGAGGTGCAGAGGAGATGAGTGTATGAGGAAGAAGCCAGGCTGAGCTGTATGCTCACAGTAAAAGGAGACGGACTGTTGTTGGTGGGATACAGAACCATAGAACAGGTGTCACTTTCGGAGGAGAGAGCGAGAGAGACTTCAGAGTCCTGACATTTTTACAAACAAAAACAAAACATGCAAAAAAAGTGTTACTTTGAAGACAATCATATTTAGTAAAACATGTTTAAGTGGTGGCTTATGTGCTTGTCTTGATGAGGCAAGTAGCACACGTTCATGTCAAAACACATGCTCCAGTCTTCATCCCTCAGCCAGCCCTCTTCCGCCCCCCTCTCCTAGCCAGCAGCCTTCCAAAGTCCCCCCAGGTCCGTCCGTAACTGTTGTGTGATTTGAGCGACTTGTTATCCTTCTCGTGTTGGCTTTAGGCCTCAGCTGCTTCTTGGATGAGTTTCTCTCTTTAAATTCATTGTTATTCTTTTATGGAAAACGCAGGCAGCCTTTGAGTAATGTGATTGTGCTTGTTGGTCCCCTTTTGGGTGGACGATGGATCCCCAATGGTGGGTTTATTGGTAGTAAGGTTAGGTTTACAGTAACTGAGGTTATGTTATGACCTGGTGTTTTGTATTGAACTATGCTTGATATAAAGATCACAAATGCTTAATCATAGAGGGTAATCCATCCAGTTGTCCTTTAACCAATTGTGTAAATTCAGCAACATTACCGGCAGTATTTGTGGTTTTGTGTCAACAATGTATCATACCTTTATCTCCAATACTCCAACAAGTCTGAAAAAGATGCATGAGTAGGTGACTGTAAGAAATCCGTCCAGACCTCCTTTTCACCTTCTTTCCTTTGTTTGACTTGTTGAATAATACTTAGACTGCAAGTTGTCTCATTCTCAATCACTACATCCTTTCACTAGTAATAGTTAATACACAATGAATTTGAGTACATGTATACGGATATTGTCTGTAGGTGTCTCTTCACCTATTAAATTCAGTGTAAATGCTACACAAAGAACTGTAGGATATCTTCCTATTCTCTTCTGATGCAGGAAATGTACAGATTAACTCAATTATTCAGTCATAAGGTCTACTACAAGCCATGCAATAGGAATGTTCTTCATTCAGATGCTATACATCTGAAATCATCTGAATCAGTATCAATCTCCCCCAATATCTTCCTTGCTGTGAACCAGTCAGAGTCAAGGCAGAGAATATGCTGTAATACAATCAGGAACAATAAGAAATACAAAAAGTGTGTGTGTGTGTGTGTGTGTGTTTTGATTTTATTGTAATTTTAGGGCTATGATTGTTTGTTGCAATCATCTGCATATGCTATCAATGAGCACAAAACCGATGCACAAAAAAAGAGATGAATGCAAGGGTTAGAGGCAGATATGCATTTTGTAGGCAGGGTTTCTTATGCAGAGAAATTAGTACTTTGGTCAACAGCCAAGTGGAAAGAGAAGATGGGAGACTAGTGGTGCTGGAAACACTCCTGTCCACCTGTCATCTCTGTCCCTTAGTGGCTACTGAATCAGACTTGTCCTGAACCCTCAACATGGTTGCTTGCGCTGAACCTATACGCGAGCTTGGTCTGTGTATAGCACAGTTCAGCTTACCTTTTCCCTTCATTCTTTCACTATGGATCCCTCATAAACTAAATCTTCACTGTTGCCCCCCTTAGACAAACTAAAGCTGGGGCTGGATTTTGTTTCTCTCCATCATCGCTGAATATGTTTTTTTTTTTTGTGATCGAACGACAATCGTGACAGGGTTTGTAGTATGACATTAACACCGCTGAGCCCAGACACCTTTGTCTGTTGTGACAGTATACATGTGAAGATACTGTTTGGCTATCCTTTTGAAACAGGATGCAGAACACATAAGTGGGAAGGCTTGGATGGAACTAGAGCTAATGCTTCACAAAACCCTATACTGCCAGGCATGTCTGCAAGGTTTTACAGATCTTTTGGCAGCCAGTTCACTCTGTAAATGGTTCATACTGCCCATTTGTTTTGATCTTTTAGGCTAAATGTTTTTATTTGTTGCTTTTTCTCCATCTTTCTCCATCATGTCTTACTTCTGCTACTTTTACCTGTACCTGGTTTTGGGTTAGATTCCCAAATGTTCCTTGTATTTTAAACAACAGTTGTGTGTGGCTCATTTTCTTGCCTGTGGATACCCATTGAGTGTTTTAGGCTTTGTTTATTGGCCAAAATCAAATCAGTCAGTCATTTAAAGGGATACTGCGAGATTCTGACAATTGTTTTTCTACTTACCCAGAGTCCGATGAACTCATGGATACCATGTTATGTCTCTACTTCCATTATAAGGAAGTTAAGAGGTAGTTCGCAAGCCTCTGTTAGTGCAATGACTGGAAGTCTGTAGGTACACTAGCGTATGGGTAAGCAGAAAAATGGCTTTATTGCCAGAATCTCACAGTATCCCCTTAAAACAGTCAGAATGCTAATTCAGTTAAAATGCCAAGGTCACTTCATTAGTGAACAATAAATACTTTATGGAGAAGAGGTGAGGGTAGGGATGGTGAATTTACCATTTGACTGCTAGAGAAGGTCAGCTTGGGTCCTGTAGACTATTGAGACTGACCCAAGGAATGGGTGTTTTAGGGGGAGATGGTTTAAAAGTGGTATCTAAAAGTGGAAGGGAAGTCTTGACAGCCCGTGTTTGGCAGGGCATGTTTGGTATGTTGCATTTCATTACTGGTAATGAGGGCACTTATGAAAAACACTAGAGGACCGTCAAAGGGTATGTAGTTGTTAACCCACCTCCCACAGTGCAAAGAGGAGATGGGAAGAGCTCATGGATGTGATGAGGGAAAGAGTAAGGGAAAGACAATGACTGGATCATCATGTTTATGCATCACCCTCTCTACTGAATCTGTGTGTCTGTCCCAGTACATTTTGTTTGAAAGGACAATTAACACGTTTAAATACCACTGGAGATGTACCTGCCAGAGAGATTACTATGATATGAAAAAAAGAAAATAAGCCTTGTTACATTATGGGAGATCTGCCAACAAGTACTGCTGATTGAGGCCTATTTTATTCAGTGCTGGTGTGTTGTGCTTCTTGTAAATAAATGTATTTTCAATCATCCCTTTTTCCTCTTGGGGGCGGGGCATCAAGGCAGGGGTGGGACTTACTCATGAAAGAGAGGAGGGAAAATAATAGAGTATTTTGTTATTGTCCAATCAGAGGGTGACAAAGTATGTATATATCTATATTGTATATATGTGATGAAAATGCGTTGGCTTTTTGTGTGACACTACCTTTTACCTGTACTATGGTTCTACATTCAGTGTTTCAATGTTGATAATATGTTTGTTTTTCTGTTTTTGATTTTGTCTTTGTCATTTCTTGTATTTGTTTTATTTTTCTCTATTTTTGGTTATTGCACGGTTTATTACTTTTGCTGTCCAATGAGGTGACACAGCTACTCTTTGTATTGGTTTAGTGCTGTAAAATAACTCCAGTGTTATTAGAATTGTCTATCCCACCCCCATCCCCAATATGCATGAATGGCACTTAAAGAAATAAAATATGTTAACTTCACTGTGGAATGGGGTGGTGTTTGTCATATTTTTTTTTATGTATTTGAATGAGGTATATGAAGCAGACTTGTGCTACAGTGAATTCTCCTGTGAATTATTTACTATTTTGAACAGTAGAAGTAGCTGCTATCAGTCACAATGTGTTTTGCAGTCTGTTTCGACTATAATAGTCGTGGGTAGGGGAATTGCACTTTCTATATGCACTGTGTAAAATTACAGCAATTATGATAAATCCGAGAAAACAAAGGTTAGGGTTGAATATAACATGTAGTAGTGCAGCGCCTCCTTGGTCACATCTCTCAAGCATGATACCTAAAATAGCTTTTTTGGTAAGTATTTTTCACCTGCAACATTCCACTTTGATCTGTGCACTCAATGTTTAAAAGTTTCCCAATTCTGAAGGTTTTCTAGGACCTAGTATTACTATCGTACAGTAGTGTTCCATACTCATTGTCCTTTCCCAAGTGAACATTTCACAGTCTTTCATATCAATAGTTACGTTTCCATTAACTTGTCCAGCTAATTGTTTTTTTTTGTCAAATGGTTGTAACAATCGCCTGCTACCGTGCATTTCCAAGTTTCCTCCAAACATGACGCCTGGCATTCAGACCAGAGAATCTTGTTTCTCATGGTGTGAGCGTCTTTAGGTGCCTTTTGGCAAACTCCAAGCGGACTGTCATGTGCCTTTTACTGTTGTATGTCTTCCGTATGGCCACTCTACCATAAAGGCCTGATTGGTGGAGTGCTGCAGAGATGGTTGTCCTTCTGGAAGGTTCTCCCATTTCCACAAAATAACTCTGGAGCTCTGTCACAGTGACCATTGGGTTCTTGGTCACCTCCCTGACCAAGGCCCTTCTCCCCCGATTGCTCAGTTTGGCCAGGCGGACAGCGCTAGGAAGATTCTTGGTGGTTCCAAACTTCTTCCATTTAAGACTGATGGAGGCCACTGTGTTCTTGGGGACCTTCAATGCTGCTGAAAATTTTCGGTACCCTTCCACAGATCTGTGCCTCCAGACAATTCTGTCTCAGAGCTTTACGGACAATTCCTTCGACCTCATGGCTTGGTTTTTGCTTTGACATGCACTGTCAACTGTGGGACCTTATAGACAGGTGTATGCCTTACCAAGTCATGTCCAATCAATTGCATTTACCACAGGTGGACTCTAATCAAATTGTAGAAACATCTCAAGAATGATCAATGGAAGCAGGATGCACCTGAGCTCAATTTCAAGTCTCATAGTAAAGGGTCTGAATACTTACTTTAAGTAAATAAGGTATATATATTGTTTTTATAATGCATTTGCAAACATTTCTAAAAACATGTTTTTGCTTTGTCATTATGAGATATTGTGTGTAGATTGATGAGAAAAAATATCTAATTTAATCAATTTT